TGTCAAAAAAGTTTTACTTTCTTGAGCAATTTTGACTTTGCTGCACATATATCACTTGTGTTTTTACTACAGATCTGTTTTTTTGCATATTCCACTGAAATAGCAGTTAGAATTTACGAGTACGACACCATCAAGTATAATTAAGTAAAATAGCATGCAGGGCATCGTTGTAGTCACGGAAGAAAGTAAACCGGGGTTGCGAGCAAGCAAAAAGCGATGCTGTTTTGCCAAGCGGTAGGTACCGCGAATCCGTGCAAACTCTGATAACATAGTGCAAGTGCGTCGTAAATCTGGCCCGTCACATTTGCCTGTGCAAAATCGAAACTTCACGCTGATTGTCCGATGATCACATTCACCGGGCAAGAAAACACCTGCATTTTTTACTTGTCACCATAATTTATGGTTATTTGTTTTAGGGATAAAAATGGCTGTCTGCCGCTTCACTACTGCTTTGTATCGCTGGAGCGGGACGTATTTGCGAGAATGACCATTGATCCTGTTGCGGTGTTATCCATTCTACTGGATGCAATGCAAACCGGTGTTGGTGTTTGTTCGAAACTTCACTTTAAATTCCGACGAATAGTAGGGGCTTTGTCAAGGGAAGCCACCGCTGTTGATAGTGCTCAGTAGCACTTCTTCGCTTTCGAAGATTGACAGAACTGAATAATCTAAGCAGGAATAGGCTTTTAGCTCAGCGAAATAAAGCAACGAGCAGTGAGGGAATTGAATTTACTCAGCAAACAGCTTCGACGAAATGAAGCAAGTTTAATACCTCTACACGGACGGAGTGACACCCTGTCGGCTCAGTTTGTTACTGTGGGGGGCCCGAAGATGCTTAACTTGTCACTGCAGTAATCACATGGCACTCTGCGAGTTTGAAATGCTACTGCAAGGTCCGAATGATTTGCTGCGAGCTTATGGGTTGGGTAGTACGCTGTGGTCGTGAATAGCCGTTACAAGCATCGGATGAAGTGCCTTACGATGGAGAAGAAAGCCAATATTTTG